CTAGCAAGAGAGGTAGGACCGATGTAGTCATGCCCTGGCGGCTATATTGACTCTATCACTTTAGACGGGGTGGAGGCGAGGTAGAGAGAGAGAGAGAGGGAGAGTGGAAGGAACGGGGGGAGAGGGAATGAACTAGCTTTAGAACACGCACACACGCCTCCCGCATGCATCTCTCCACCCCGGACGCTTCCTGCGTGTGTCGCGTGCATCATGGGGGCGGGGGGAGGTGGAGGAAGATACGAAGGCGATGCAAAGGGGAAACCAAGACAGGGCCGCTGGAGGATAGGTGAGGGGAAAGACCCAGTGCCTCTCTTATGTTGCATAAAATATTGGGCGGGAAAATTGCTTGTCAAAGGCACAGACCATAGTGGCGACGACTAGTAGTCAAAACTCTCAAAACAACGAACCTGTTTCTCGTCCATGGACTTATCACCCATCAGTGCGGAGAGGGCGGTAGGCGACATCATGTTTGGCAACAGGCTGTTGGCAGCAAGGCCTGCGGGAGATGAATTGGGCGTCTGGGAGTTTGGAAATCCAAAAGCGGCGGCACTGTTTGTCTGCAGACCCGCTGCCATCGCAGCCATTGCCGCAGCCATAGCGCTTTGTGATTGGGCCAGATTGGAGTTGGGAAAACCGGGGGATGTAGAGGTGGGTGCCCCGAGAAATGCACCAGCATTGGGGGTTGTGGTGCTGACGTTAGGACCACTTGCAGAAGTAATCGGTGGCGCAAAGGGATTAGGAGGAGCACCGGGCAGTGAGAGTAGGGTGCCACTGAGGGAGTTCACACCGCCGGCTGGAGAAGGGCTAAGAGCACCGGCTCCATTAACGGTAGAAGACGGTGGTTGAGGCAGACCCGGTATTCCTGGTGGGGGAAATGCTGCAGCCAGTTGGCCACCGATCGGATTAGCACCGGCGAATAGCAACTGATGTTGCTGCAATCAAGCAAAATTTTAATTTGAGGCGCTCGATCAGGACAAGGGAGAATTTTAGGCATGACGAATAATTGTCGCTGAGGAGTAAAGCATGAAATACCTTATATAATTCAAGGCGATCCATAGGCGCATCAGCAGCGCCCAAAACTTTGTATTTTATTTCCTCAAACTGTTGCTAAGGCAATAAGTATGACATAGGGACTTACGCTAATTAAGTTGTTCAGTTCTGGCAATGTGACCTGTTTTGCGCGCTCAACCGCTGCAGCAACTTGAGCCTGATGCTAAAAGAAGGTTACAATACCAAAAATCCTACTTCTTGGGGAAGGTAGGGTAGAACTTGAGCGATTATGGCCCCCAAGCGTTTAGATATTTCAGTCTGCAACGATCGATGAAAAAAGACGTTTACCTGTTTGTGGATTTCAACATTCAACCCATAGGCTAGTTCATAATACACCATGTATACCCGGTGGAGTTCAGTCTTCTCTTGAGTTAATCTTTCGCACTCCACCTTCAGGCTAAGGGCAAATGAGAATAAAGAAAACCCACGTATGGCATTGTTGCTGAAGATATGACAGCTCGTCCTTTATTCGATCACACGCATCAGGTACGGAAAATTTGGTTTGGTTCTGCTGGGAACCAACCTATGCAGAAAAAGGTAATACAAACCACGTATTACATTTTGACGCGGTGGATACATCGCAACAACACTACCACCATAAAGGCAATAACCCGCTAAGTACTTTGCCACTTAAAACGAACTCAAGGTCGAGTAAATAAAAATTATCGCTAAACAGTTTACTTATTAAAAGTTAAAAACTGTAAGCAAACCCTAAAAAGTGTTGAAATATACAATTTAAAAACATTTATAGCTATCTAAACGCTTTTCAGCAACAAATCATCACGATATTTGATTAAGAACAGAGCCTTTCTGCTTTTTACAGGGGTTTGAAGGGCACCGCCTACATTATATGTTAAAAACAGCTTTGATGATTGCCGATTTTGGTGTTATATCCGGAAACTGAAATGCTTTGGCATCCAAAGCTTGGTTCCTCTGGTGCAAGACTGGACTTAACGGAATCGTATTAAGTGGATTGCATGTCTATCACTTTGTTTTGGTTATGTTAGCACTTGAGGCTTTGTCTTTTTGTTTTCCCTGGACGACATGACCTCCAAGTTATTCTGGTACCCACTCTACCTTTGCTTACATCGGCAGTATATTCTCAATCCTAGTGGAATGCTCCAAGACTTCCCTGAAGACGAAAGGGAACATAGTACTCAGGTAGAATGCATATATTCGACAAACAAAAGGCATTTAGGCTGCTGGCGGGGCTCGAAGGTCAGCCCACACTGTGTGATACAATCCATGCTAACAGTGGCTCTTCACAAAAACAGAGATTCAAACAACCATTGCATTGCACTATTATTGTGGCTTGCTTTTGTCCTTTTTCATTATCCTGTGCAGCGTGGCTTATTGCTACATCAGTGACTTCCGGAGTTGCATTTGTTTTGATACCATTTGTCGCCTCGACTGTCCTGGAATTTTTAGAACATCAATCCACTTTTTTGCAAACACTTATCCTTGCAATTCAAGTACTTGTTTTACATTTCTCCTATTAACATTCAGAACGTTAAAGGCAATTGCTACAACAGTTTTATTAAAAATTTTTTTGCATTCCAGTGTGCTAGCTGAGTTCTAATTCAACATGTGACTAATGAATTACCAATTTGTATGTTTGAACGTTAATGTATCGTTTTGATTCTTTCTTAGAGTCGTGACTTTCTACATCTTTACGAAAGAAAACTTGCCACTGACGCAGGAAATGAAAAGAAGGCTACTGATATAATGACTCGATATTTTGTTGTACTGTGCGATTGTGAACGGTTCTGACCTTGTCGGCTGTAGCCTACCTTGCAGCATAGCTGTAATACTTATGTTGTTTGAATTTGCCTTTCAGGGAGGAGGCAAGCAGGAAATTCGAACCTGGTAACTGGATCGTCCTCTCCCTTACCTAGTGACTGCGGC